TTGGTAAGAAAATTCGTGGGAGGGAAAGGGTATGGATCAATGAAAATTTACTTCAAATGAATCAGACAACTAAGTTTAAGTGCGAATATTAGTACAATTAGTTATAATATCTGTTGACTGGTGAAATTTTCTCATGGCGCCTGAAATATTATTAAGTCAAATTATACTGATAAGTTTGGGTTTTTTAAATAGAGATTTAACATTGATTCTATTTGTGTGGTGCAGAGATATAGGAGAGATTCTGTACAGCTTAATGCCATTGAGCAGGTAGTTTCATGTTTATTTTTTTTAATGGTTTTGTTTTTAAATTTAAATTTACTGCTTGCTTCCGGTTTTTTGTTTTTCTTTTAGCTATTTATGTGTGTCAACATGGGTGTATGGTGATTTAGGAAGAAGGTGAAGGTTTGAAAGGGCCGAAACTAGTGGTGTATGATGAGAAGGAACTGGGTTCTAGAGTTAGTTACAGTACTTCGGAAGAGAATAATGATTTTAAGAAATATGGAAATATTGGAGAAATGGATCGAGGTTCAAAGAGATCTCAAAGAGGTGGAAACACGTCAATTCCTTTGGAAAGTAATGCTCGGAAGTGTTCTTTTAGCCTTACTGCTATTCCATCTATTGTTGATTGTAAACATGTCCCTGATCTGTAACCATCTTCAGGAACTAATCATGAAAGTAGAGAAGAAAACCGGCAGATTCCACAGGAAACAGTAACATCCAGGTCAGAAGCAAAGGTAAGTGTGCATGTCAATATTCTATACTTCACAATGATTCTGGGCCTGCAAGACCAAAATCATTGTTAGTCAGAAGTGGAACTCAGGGCACTGTTTCTTACCATATATGAGATGATGTGACTCTGATTTCTGTAACATATATGAGATACAAGCATGGGCTGCTGTTCTTACCATCCATTGCATGTTGCATGTTGCGTATTACATCTTCTGGTTTTAGCTGCAGGGGCAGTCCAATCAAACAACAGTTCGACATGATCAGAACATGCGATCTCCAGTCCGGATATTTACTGATGAGAAGGTAAAGCAGATGAAAGATGATCTGATTAGAGCAAAGGCATACTTGAGTATGACACCACCAGGCAGTAACTCTCACTTAGTAAAAGAGTTGAGATTGCGAATCAAAGAATCTGAACGAGCTGTTAGTGCAGCCAACAAGGACTCAGATTTATCAAGGAGGTATCTTCATCACCAGTACATGTTTTCTTTTGACATTGATTCTTTAAATATGCAGTCATAAATAAGATCTGATGATTGCTTGTGCATGTAGTAGAATTATGAAATGATGTCAGATTTTTTTATTTGGGAGAGGAAAAAATTGATTTAAAATCTGAACATCCATTCATTTACAGTGCACTACAGAAAAAGAGATCCTTGGAGGTTACCTTATCAAAAGCCAGTCGTGTTTTTCCGGACTGCTCGGCCATGGCTTTGAAGCTCCGTGCGATGACTTACAATGCTGAAGAACAGGTTCGAGCACAGAAGAATCAAGCAACATATCTTGTTCAGCTTTCTGGAAGGACTACGCCAAAAGGCTTACACTGCCTTTCTATGCGGTTGACAGCTGAATATTTTGCCTTGTCACCTGAGGAAAGACAGCTCCCTAACCAACAAAGGGTGCATGATGCAGATCTTTATCACTATGCTGTTTTCTCTGATAATGTTCTAGCCTGTGCTGTGGTTGTCAATTCCACTGTCTCCTCTGCCATGGTAAACTGCCTTTTCCCTGTTATTATTGTTTTTAGCCTTTGTGTGCAGAGTTCGCTTCAGGCTTCTGGTGAGGTTATTATAACTTGCATAGCTCACACAGAAAAGCATAATTGGAATAAATTTACGGGGCCATCTCCAGAAAGGAAACAGGCCTCCGTTAGTGGCTCCTGTTTGCGGACTGAACCTGTTCTCTTTCCAACAGTAAAAAGTGTCTGCAAACATGTGTATCGAATTTTCCATAATATTATACCTCCTGTCTGAGTCGAAACAACACCTTTTGTAATTCAAAAACTCTAGCAAATTCAATAAGCAAGCTTTTGGCTGTGTGAGCATTGTGCCATTGAGAAAAGAAAAAAAATCGTGCTATTTTTCATGAGTCATCTGGCTGTCTAGTTGTAGCGTATCTACTATTTTTGGAAATATACCAGTCTTAATTCTTGGCTTTATACCATTACATATCATTAAATAGGGTAGTAGGACTCTGGTACTGATGTCTTTCCCTGTTGGTTGGGTTAAATACTTGTGGAAAAAAGTTTTTCAAATTGAGTATTGTGCCATGCTTACTTCTACTTGACCTGAGAAACAATGCTGATGACTTTATTGCTTTAACTACTGACAGGAGCCAGAGAAAATTGTTTTTCACATAGTGACTGATTCTCTCAATCTCCCAACAATCTCAATGTGGTTCTTATTGAATCCTCCTGGCAAAGCTACAATTCAGATCCAGAGCTTAGTCGATTTCAAAGGGTTGTCCGCCAATTACAATTCAACATTGAAGCAACTAAATTCCCGTGATTCAAGATATACTTCTGCACTGAACCATCTTCGTTTCTATCTTCCAGATGTCTTCCCCCAGCTGAATAAGATTGTTCTGTTTGACCATGATGTGGTAGTGCAAAAGGATCTAGCTGGCCTTTGGAGTCTTAATATGAAAGGAAAAGTCATTGGAGCAGTGGACACGTGCCGTGAAGGTGAACCTTCATTTCGCCGGATGGATAAGTTCATCAATTTCTCAGATCCATTTGTGATTAAGAGGTTTGATGCCAAGGCATGCACATGGGCATTTGGAATGAATTTGTTTGATCTGCAAGAGTGGAGAAGGCATAAATTAACTGCTCTCTACAGTAAATACTTGCAGCTGGTAAATAAATTTCTCCCATTCATAGTTCCATTTGCTTTGCTTGCATGCTGATTTATGCTTTCTAGATTTATGATATCTCTGTTGATCTGAAAACCATGTGTGCTAATTTAGTGTTGTTCTACTTCAAAAGATATTTACACCCCTCAATTTTTCTATGCTTTGATTAACTTGGTCTTGAGATCACATGTAGAGCATTAACGAGCATCTGCTTGTATTAGTCCCATGGATTGCCAAGGGTTCGACTCCCAGTCTTGCGATGTTGAGATTGTACCATGGATTCACCCAGTCCATGGGTTAGGAGCAGTTCATTAACTTGGGGTGAGCCTGAAGGGCCTGACCTATGTGATCTCCCCTTTCATAAGAAAAAAAAAAAGCATCAGTATGTAATACAGAATATAGCATGCGCTTCTATTGGAGGCCAGACTTTGTGGTAAGGCAGGTGAGAGGGCTTTTTGGTTCCCGCAAGCATGGTTTTCACTTCTAGTTTCTCAACACAGTTTCAACAAGCATTTATTCATTTTCATGGCTATGGAAAGTGGCTTAATGAATCGAATACCCAATGTTCAATGAATTCATTCATTAGCAACATATGTGCATGCATCATGCAAGCATGCAGGCGGACACGCTCTTGGTGATATGCTTGGATAAATCTATAATTATCCTGCACAAATCTATAACTGTCCTGCATATTTCAATGCTTGTTTTGCCCCATTATTTTTCGCAGGGCTACACAAGGCAGTTGTGGAAAGCGGGTAGTTTGCCTTTAGGTTGGGCCACTTTCTACAACCGTACGGTTTTTCTGGACAGGAGATGGCATAAACTCGGACTTGGCCATGAGGCTGGTGTTGGACACGACGGTGTTGAGCAGGCAGCGGTATTACACTACGATGGAGTCATGAAACCATGGCTGGATATTGGTATTGGGAAGTACAAGAGTTACTGGAGCAAACATATCAACTACGACCATGCCTACTTACAACAGTGCAATATCCACGAGTAAATGAAATCAGATTATGCCAACCAAAACTATTACCTCACGCATCATTAGTTACTTGTTGTTCTAGGGACTTGACATGTTCGCTTGATTCTTTCACAAATTTCTTTTGTAAAGTTCCAACACATTTTGTCTTGAATGCGGCAGTAATCTTCTAGGAGCTGAGCCTAAGCGATAAAAGCTGATATCAAATAAGTCCCCGGGGGCATGTTCGAATGCTTCAAGTTGTTGTGTACATAACTCTACTCAGATATTCTCTTTTAGATCCAAACACCAGAACCGAAAAGAATATGGCAATTTTCTTTGGTATATTCGTGGGGGTTTCTGTGCCGTTATTCTGTGGATGCTCTATGGTTTCCTGATGGACAGCTCTTCATGTGGTCGACTTTCAACGTTATCCAGATGAGTCGTGGTCTCAAGTGAGTTTGCTTGTGTGTAATTTCCCATTTAGATGAAGATAAAGGCTCTAACCTATGGATTTGATAAATATGTTTACATAATTAGAATTGAAGGATTTTTTTTTTTTACAGATACAATTTTATTTTCTTAACTAATGGTTGAATAAAATAAAATATCCTTGCCTACTTCATTCCAGGAATTTAAAAAAAAAAACCGACGCTCAAGTTCAACCACAATCTTATCCACCAATAATAAAAGAAAACTTTATGGTAATTAGTAATATTTTATTAATTATTTTTATATTTATTCTGAACCAAAAAACAAGCACAAAAATAAAGAAAAAATAACTAATATTTGTTATTTATGATTTTTCTATCCTATTGGTATTTATTTCAAAAAACATAATTCCGAAAATAACTAATAGTATATTTTTAATTATTACTTGAACGACATTTTTCTTTCTTTTTTTAAATAAAAACTTAAGTAATAAAATATTATTAATTACTCCGAATCAAAAGTCCCCCAATTTTTACCGGCTAAAACGAATGGAATAATGGGACTTGAAGCCGGCTCGACGACGTTAACCACGGAAAAATCTGGCTCGGTTCATGTGGTCACTGCCTATGGTAATTTGCTTGGCCTCGTAAATGGATCACGTCACACGTGGAAGAAGCTGGTTGGACTCCTGAGGATAGCGGATATCGAAGGAGGGGCGGCCTATCTATCCATGTTATGTGGTGCGTTGGACACTCATGGTTTGGATACATAATATTAGTTTGTAAAATCTTGTGGTACACTTTGCTACGACTGCTTCGGTATCCTTTGTAGCAGTGCTCAGTCCTGACTCAAGTTTCTTCCAAATTGAAGAAAGATGGCCACCATCACTGCCAGCACCACCACTACATCATCACTCGTCCGTGCAGCTCTTGTACACAAGCCATTAGTTGGAGTCTCATGCTCACCTGTTCTTGGTAAGACCATTTGCCTCCTCTCTTGAATTTCATGCTTCTGAGTCGTGGGGTGAAACTACTGTGGTTTGCATCTTATTTTGTTCACAATACTGTTTATGATTTTCTCAGTAAAAAATGATGCAATCACCAGACCTATTTGATAGGAATCAACTCGGGTCAGAGTTGATTATCATCATTTGACTGGGCATTCAACATTCTGATCAACTCGGATCAGAGTTGACTATCATCATTTGACTGGGCATTCAACATTCTTTTTTATTTTATTTAATTTATGGTTCCAGGCTTGCCAGCAATGGCAAAGAAGGGAAGAGTGAGCTGTTCCATGGAGGGAAAGCCAAGCGTCTTTTTTATTTTATTTTATTTATGGTTCCAGGCTTGCCAGCAATGGCAAAGAAGGGAAGAGTGAGCTGTTCCATGGAGGGAAAGCCAAGCGTGGAGGAAAAATGCAAGGGAATGAGTGCATCTTTGATGGCAGCTGTGTGCGCTGCATCCATGTCAAGCCCAGCCTTGGCTCTGGTGGATGAGAGAATGTCCACTGAAGGAACAGGACTGCCCTTTGGTTTGAGTAACAACCTTCTTGTTTGGATCCTGTTGGGTGTTTTTGCTCTCATCTGGGCTCTCTACTTTACCTACACAGCCACCCTCGAGGAGGATGAGGAATCAGGATTGTCCCTCTAAAGCCGAACTCGTTTCATTATTGACAAGGAATGTAAAAACAATGCAAAACGTTTGGCTTTTTTCTACCTTGTACCAAAACTTCCATAATTTATCTATGCAATTTATGTGTTGCCTTGCTTCTTAATCGCTCCTCTTGTTTAGCTCGCATACCGTCTCTGCTATGGTGTGTGTATTGATTCGTTCTCGAATAATATTTCAAATAATTTTAATTTTTAAGGTGCTGATGTTGATTTTTAAAAAATAAAAAAAACGTTAATTTAATATATTTTTTAAAAATAAATACTACAATCCCAAACATCCCCAGCTTTTGATCGATGAAAACAAACAGTACAAGTGCATCTGTACATGAGGTCGATAATGGTGAACAATTTATCAAAAGAGGAAGCATTCTCCTTGCTCTCGCATCCAAATAAAAAGATTTCTTCTAATTTACCAATGACACTGTTTAAGTAAGGAAATATGAGTCGAATCTTGGCGTTAACAGATTAATTAACCAGAATATAATTTCCAGTGTAGGATGGCTGAACAAACTATAAGAGAAACTAGGCATTGACTTGCTTCTATAGAAACTGCATCTGATCAACTTGGTCAGTCCGGTTCTTGAACTAACAAATATATTAAATGCATGAAAAAAATTAAAAGCAAGGAATAGAAAAGAACTGCATCTGAATTGCTTGTTCAGTCCGGTTCTTGAACTAACAAATATAATACATACGTGAAAAAAATTAAAAGCAAGGAATAGAAAAAAATGCCATATACTTTATTCATTCATTCTTTCAGTTTCCATCAAGTTAATGCAAAACAGATAAATTCAACTGATCTCATCTCTCTTTCTCCAGCAGGTCATCGCGTCAAACAGTTTCAGAAATTGATAGACCTGATTACTAAATCTGCATTTTTCTTCGACTTGATAATGAGCTCTGCATTAGGCTGGTCGTTATACTCTATCTGCAGATGAATGTAATTCTACATTGAATTTACACTAAAGTAGGACCACTGTAGTGAAAACAGCAACCACAAAAACAGAAGCAAGAGAAGTTTGAAGCTGACAACAAAGCTTACCCGCCACTTAGCAACATCTGGAGGCTTCCCTGTTAAATGACATAACATTAAATCGTAAGATTCCTTTCCTTTCCCTGGCAGAATTGTAGAAGCAGTAACTAGTAGAAACAGAAGAGATGAGCCTATACCTGTTGAAATATGTCTCTTTAAAACTCGCTGCATTGCTATATCAATATCCACATCAATAAACCTTCAAAAAAAAAAAAACAGTACAAATTACTCAGGCTGTTACCACAGAAAGTTTTAAACTCAAGTTCCCAATACAGAAGAAAGATTGAAAAGGCTTTCTAAGAAGGTGAGGCACGGGTTCAAGATGGTGCAAACAGTTCACCCAACCTCAAACATTTAAGCTAAAGATATCATCTGCTCATAAGCCTATACAATTCTATCCTTAAAGAAAATACAGTGTTAGAAAAGGGGAGTTGAAAAGGGGAGAAAGGTTAACTAGTTGGACATTTTGTAAAGAGTATGACCTGTAGAATTAAGTGCCAATTGCTCACGTATGGTTTCATAAAATAGCAAAGGAAAGGAAACAGCAAAATTACTAATTGCAACAGCGGTACAAACTTTAAATGGTTTTAACCAGATTGGACAACAGGGTTGCAACAAATAGTGATCTCAAGACTACATCGGAGCCCAATGGTCCTAAATCCATTTGAATCTGTTTGGAGATTTCCTTGATGGAATTGAGCTGAAAGAATTTTTTTCTCGAGATAAAAGTATCTAGAGGATTGACAGTTCAAAAGGCGCACAGGTAAAAGGAAAACATAAACAGTATATACTGTGATGTATCTGAATTGGAGAATTGATCTTCATTTTCTTGTACAATTTTTAACTCCGTATTCTAACATGGCCAACTTCATGAGAGGATAATCCCATGTAAATATACAAGGTTCTAAGTGAAGTCTGGAACATTCTCCATCTCATTCCAAGTGATCATATTCATAAAACAGATTTTATAGCACCAATTATAACGTGATAAAAGCTCTTGGAAGCAAAACTTAAAAGAGTGTATAGTTGTCCTTAAGCATGATACAGCCCTCAACATTGTCGCCACATGTCCAGCCCTGTCAGATGTATAGAAACTAGGCAAAATAACACTTTTGAAAAAAAACTGATGAATTCTCAGCATCATATATCTGCTCCACGACAAGATAGAGGAAGAAAAATTGCCTTGTCAAGACTGTAATACTTACCATTTCTCATCAAACATTGAAGACACATCCTTCCAAGCCCCATCTTCCAACAATAGATAATTTCCTTCAACTATGACCACTTTATGCCTGCAACGAGTGTGAAAATAGGATTCATAGATGAAGCATAGGCTACATGTTTAACCTTCCATTCAAACAAATCAACTTCCTTTGAAAGGATTTTGCATGTTAAAGTATATGATTACTTACTGAAGACTCACAAAGATATCATCTTCTACTGGATCTCCAACACCATGATCAAAAGATGGTGCATAAACTGACCCCTGAAAAGTTCATCATTAATCAGAAACACATACCATTTCTAGATATGGTATCCTCCACTAACCATTTCCAAAGAAGTTAAATTTCAAGTTTACAACAACATGGGCCACTCACCTCGTTCCTCAACTTCTCCAGACATCTAAGCAGTAGGGTTGGGGAAAATGTCCATGGAGCTGATTCATCAACACAAGAATCAATACTTGAACACTGGGCTTGAATGTAGAAAAAACAAAACAAAGTCAAGTTTACCTCCTCTTCTGGCATGGGCTTCCTCTGGATTCTAAAATGCAAGAATATTAGCGTACCCTGAAATACATTTGAAAAGGTTTCAATAACTAAAGTAAACAACCATGAAGCAAGCTTAACCTCCATTGCATCAAGCTGGGAACGATATAGATGAAACCCATCCATGGGAAGAACTGCAGCAACATCTGAAGGCTTGACTTGCGAATCAAATGAAGAAGCTTTTTGTGGCCATAACCTATTTACACGATGCACTATTTCAGAAGCCAAAGTGCTCTTTCCAGCACCAGGTGGACCAGCCAACGCCACAATATGCCTGCATACATTTTAGTCACAAAATAAAGCAGAATAGCAATTAGCATACAGAATGACCAAAAATAAGACTAGAAAGAATGATGCTCTTCGCATAAATTCAAACCCCCACCCACCCCACCACCCCCAAAAAAAAAAAAAAGTTCACTGATATTCTTAACTATCTTGTACAATCAGGTTCAAATACATCAAAATAAACAACATTCCAACATTGAAGAGGCTAGAACTTACTTGAAATTAGGATTCGACGCTGCTGGTGCTGTAGGAAGAAGCCGTATAGCTAAAGCATCATATATCTCATCCATGGAACTATAAATGAAACAGAAACAAAAATAAAAATAAAAAACCACTCGTCAACACAGCAGAAGCAAGGTTAATAAGAAAAAAATTGTTTGTTCACTTCAAATTCAACCACAAGAATGATTGATCTAATGTGTACTAGTCATACCCGGCCTCAACAACAGGAATCTCTCTCTTTTGACTACATAAGACCTGATGCCACACATCACGAAATACAAATCAACATTATAAAATCATAAGCTTCTTTTTTCAATTTTTCAGAAAAAAAAATTTGTTCAAAAAGACAGAAGAAAATAGTAATTTAAAAGCAACCTTTATAGAGTTTACTTTGTGATCCAGGCAACAAGGTCGCGTCAACAAAGACAGCGAATTTCTTATATTCAATGAAATTGGAAGCCCCAGGTGAAGTTTAATCCTTCTAAATAGCAATGCCTCTGCAAAATCACAACATTTTTACTCCGTAGACAACATAAAATAGATAGAAATCGAACACACGCCTGCGCTTAAAACATGTCGACAGCATTAGAAAGGATTTGCACGTTCGATATTTTAAAATTAGAAGAAATCAAGCTTTTCCCGTGCTATAATTAACCACGAATTTGGAATAGCACAATTTTTTTGTGTTTGATACAAGAATCTGTTTTTATTTCAAATTTTTTCGTGATCGCAAAAAGGAGACAAAAGGTGTTAGAGAGAGACCTGTGGATGGACGCAGATAGGTGGTGGAGGTTGTAGATAATGAAAAAGAGACCTCCATGACTGCCGCGAATCACCAAACAGAACAGGGAACTATAACAACTTGTGCTTATGTTTGAGTTTGGAGAGAAGGAGATTACGCTGTTTCTTCGATCATCTTCTATTCCTCCTGTTCTTTTATCCTGTATTCGGTAACCGGTAATAGGCAGTGTAGTGGTAGTTATTTTATAAAATATTTTTTATTTTAAAATTATATTTTTAACATTATTGTATTAATTTTTTTTTTAATTTTTAAATTTTAAAAATTACTTTTTTAAAATTGGTAGTTATTTTATAAAATATTAGTTATTTTAAAATTATATTTTTTAAGTTTTATAAATTAATTTTTAACATGATTATATTAAAAAAATTTAAAAATTTTAAATTTTAAAAATTACTTTTTTAAAAAACATTGCCACCACAAAAACAAGCACAACATAAGTGCATGTTTAGAAGATTTTTTCCCAATTATTTTTTATTTTAAAATAATTATTTTTAATATTAATATATTAAAATTGTATTAAAATACTTTTAAATTACAAAAAACAATACGTAATGAGCAGCAAATAAAACATCATTAAAATTTAAATAATACAAGTCATTAGTTAATTAATACGTTCATGTCGTCATTTTAAGTCAGCAAATTATATATATATTGGGAAATTAATGAAAATAAATTTTAAATAGTTAAATTAATATAATTATTATGAATTGATTTTTAAAATACTTTATATCTTTACTGGGTACATCAACATAAAAAGATTAGAAAAAGCTTTTTGAGTTATTGAAATGAAGCACTAAAAAGAAATTTTGAGTTTGATTATAAGATTTTTTTATAATTTTAAAGTCATTTTTTTATATTATTTTTATTTTATTTTATATAACTGGATTATATAACATAAATATTATTTTTAAAAACAAATTGATCATAATAATCATTGTTATTATTATGAAAATAAAAAATAAAAGATAAAAATCATCATTTTCTATTTATATT